AGACCTGCTTGTGTAGGGCTTCTGCTTCTGCTAAGGCAGCTAATTTTTTTTCTTTAGCTGTATATTTTTTTAGTAAAAAAAATGTATGAATTGTTGTCTGCGTGACCCCCTCGTGCTGGCCTTCTGCCGCTGCATTGGTTTGAGTAAGTTGTATGAAAAGAATTCATGCATTGTTGTGGGCTGCTGCTGCTGCTGCTGCTGAAGGATGTCAGCTAAATTTGTTTGTCTATCTGTTGATGACTACTTACTTCCTCGAGACGAACCATGCATCTGTTGATGACTACTTACTACCTCGAGACAAACCATGCATGCATTTCCAATGACTCGCGCGGAGATGCTAAGCTTGAATTGCTCCCTCCATCCCAAAATAAGTGTTTTGAGCTCAATACAAATTTGTACTAGAGCTAGTACAAAGTTGAGACACTTATTTTGGGATGGAGGAAGTATAAATTATCCAGACCACTACACGGACCACCTTAACCAAGTCACTCCCGGCAACAGCATGTGCATGTCCCTTCGTGGTGAGATAGAGGTGGAGGACGTTCTTCATGGCGACAGCAAGCCTGGACATTGTTGTCGTTGGTCTCCACTTTTCTCCTGTCTTTACTAGCCCGATACTCCGGCATGTCTTCACTAGCTCGATACCCCGAGGACACCCCGACGAGGACAGCTCTGCAAGTTTCATCTTTGTAACTTCGCCCAGTCACAACATTGATGTTATTTTAGCTTAGGGTGCCGATCACCGTAGCGGCGCCGCACGAGATAGACCCCTCCATCGGGGCCATCTCGTTATCGTCGCATCTCTGCCCTTGACCATGTTAACATGTAGCACCTCACCTTCTCTATTCCTTTCGAGCGCAGCAGCTGCTGCTGTTTCCGCCGCCATGCACCACCCACAAGCGACTCACGCCACTAAGGCGATATGTCATAAGGAGGGGACGTGAGAAGGAGGTGGCGCCTTCTTCCACTCCAGCACGAGCAGTTGTATGTCGTACGCAGCATCGTCAAGTCCCACCTGATGTCCCTACAAGTTATACTTTCCCTCGAGTTTATCCTCTATTGCCTGAATCGCCAGACCACAAGGATTTCGTTTGTGCCCTTTGCGCGGCGATTCGCGCATCGTGCGCGGTAGAATCAACCTTTGAGAAGAGAGTGAATTTTCAGCTCCGGGTGCATAGGCACCCTCTACGTATAGTAAAATAAAAAAAATCAGAAATATCTGAAGCTTTGCGACATCAAAGATGATCAAATTTTGTAGATGCTTGCAAGTTTTCATGCAAAAAAAAACCATTGGAGGAGCTTTACATACGAAAATATTTCAGTGCTTGTAGTTTTGAGCACTTTTAGCACTAAAATTTGAAACTTCTTTGTATACCTTTCTATACATAATATTTTGGCATAAAAACTTGCAAGAATCTACAAAGTTTGACCATCTTTGATGTTTCAAAGTTTCAGTTTTTTATTTTGTTTTCTATTTTCTTTATTTTGCTGTTCGTAGAGGGTGCCTAGTCACCCGGGAGCTATCACACCTTTTCGTTGACTAAGAGAGTGAACTAATTTAAATTTGGTTTGTACTGAATTTAAATCCAGCAAAGTTTTCAGAGACAACATATTTGGCACCTGTAAGAGTTTTGTAGTAATTTGGAACCTTACTAACATCACATCCAGAATGCAGTAGGAGAACCTTCAACAGGGTTGGGCACGAGGTAAGAGCGGCTAGGTCGGCATGGAGTGACTACGAGCTCGCTATTCTTCCCATGCTTAGCACGGAACATGGTCACAAGAAGCAGGTGCTGGGCATCGTTTATGATGTTGGTGCAGTAGCCTTGCCCAGTGATCGGCGTCCACATAGACATAGGCATGCTCTCGACGAGGCAGAACCTGCTGCGCCCAGTATGGACGAGCGCCTGGCTCATGCCATGTACCGGCCGCTCATGGAACCCAAGTTCCTGCTTGCACACTTTCCATGCCGGCGGTGGGACGGTGCCCACGCCAGTGCCGACGCTGTCGCGGAGGGGAGACGGAATATCGCACGAGCAGAGGTAGTTGCAGCCGCGTCTCCCAACACCGGGGCCACCGGCCGCTCGGATACCGACCCACGCGTCCAGGTCGCCGTCGTAGTACGCCCGGCCGTGGAACGGCAGGTGCCAGCCACCGCGGAGCGTGGGCTCACCGCCGCGGTAGGTGTCAATCGAGAAGGTGAAGGTAGACGACGCGAAGATGGTGTGGCCGTCCGGATAAACCGCGTACGACCTGACGAAGCTGTTGCTGACCCGGCGGTCGAGCGGGATCGAGGGCCAGAAGCTCCTCCAAGCCCAATCATTCGCTTTTCTATCGTCGTCGCTGTTGTACCCGTCGTACTCGTCGGCGTCCCGTCCGCGGCAAAGGTAGAACGGTGCTTCGCCATGGGCTCCATGTTTCAGTGTGTACAGCTTGTCCCCGGTGGCCACGCCGATGTAGCCGGAGCATAACTCATCCGGGAATGACTGCACAATGTCTAGCTTCGTCGTCTGGGTGTCGTAGACGAGGGTGAGTCCCTGGTCCCTGTCGTCATAGCCCTGGGAACATGTGACGACGATCTTGCTTCCTAGCTCCTAGGGCTTCGAGCTGTAGACGCGCACCGAGAGATTGGAAGCCCAGGCGGAGGACTGGCTCGGAGAGGCGACGCGGCGGGTCATCCTTGTGCGAAGCAGGCAATGGACGGATGCCCATGACCGCTTCCTCGTCGCCGCCGTCGAGATCGTCGATGTTGAGCTTGTAGATACTGTGCCCCATATTCCTCTCGTCCAGCACCACATACAGATGCCGCCGTCGCCGATCAAGTTCTAAATTGGTGTCGCAGGCGTATGCACGTGTATGGGTCATTGCGTTGGCGCCGCCGCCCAGAACGGCAGCTACCACGGCGTCGCATCCTGCGGGACGCCGGAGACGGGAGAGAAGGGGCTGAGATCTGCCAAGAACCGATCGCCACATGATGTGTTTGCGTTAGGTCGGTAATCGGTACACGACACGTACACGTGCACTATATGGTTTGTTTGGGTTCTTTGTCTTGCGAATCAAAGAAAATGCGGCCCTACCTAGTTACTTTCTTCCATATTTTCTAGATTCGGCAGAGACTCCGTCCCGTGACGCCCCCGCGAGCGTCCAGGAGGCCAGGTGGGGTGGTTTGCCGGCGGTACCGGCGGCAGTTGGGGCGCGGATTTGTTGAAAGTCGCATCCTTTGGTGGTGTTCTCGGGGCAGTCTAGATGTGGGGCAGCGGCTCTGGCTATGGGAGGCGTGTTGGTCGTGGGCTGACAGCGCGGCGTAGGTAAGAACTTCTCTGTACTACAGATACCTGCTAGTGCGCACTAACTTCGTTTGCGGTCTATTTTCAGCAATAGCAACACTAAGAACTATTTTCAATCGTTGTGTACGCAAATGGAGGAGGTGGTGATGTTTTTACCTCACATGGGTGGTGACATGCCATAGTCTTCAGATTGGTCTCACCCCTCCTACGCGTTAGACATAGTCCTTCTCTAGTACGACTTTGCTCTTTGTCGGCATTGATACTGTGTGTATCCGTATTGGCTTTGTATATCCTAATCACGTAGAGATCGGGTGCGTGCTTATTGTACCTGTATTCTCTCGATGTGAGTTATGAGCCAATAAAAAGTGTCCTTTATCGAAAAAAGAAGCCAAGGGCACTTACTTGAAGGGTACAAGTTAGTCATCCATAGCATATTTGAATGAGATTCGCATATTCACACACAATCGTATGTATGAATAAGTGACATGCTATCAACATCATTGGTCTAATATTTTTTTATAACAAGTGCATTATTGAAGCAGATATTGAATCAGTAGCCTCTTAATATTTTTTTGACTAAAAAACAAAGATGTCATTATCATTTCATCAGCTAAATGATATATGTGAGTGTTAATGAAATACAAGAATGACATATATACTCAGAAGACTAAACCGTAGCTCCAGCTTGATGTATATCATTGTCAAGTAACAGAGGTTGTTGAGACCGGCCTCCAAAAATTTTCAATTTGGAGGTCAACCAGAGGGGGTAGCGGGACTTGCCTGGCAACAAAGAAACTAAGGGCATGTACAATGATTGATAAGATAGTCTTGTTTTAAGTCTTGCATATAATTTAGAGATGACAAAAGAAATTGTCTACAATGGGTCATCTCTTACCCTTATTTTCAATAATTAGTTATTCCTAAAAACGTGGTGAGACATATTGCGTTAAGAGATCATCTCTTGTCTTCTCTTAGATAAGACAAGACAAGCCTTTTCTTATGGGTTCTCTCTCCTCCACCTCATCATTTATCCTACGTGGCAGTCCTAACTCCTAAGATAGCACCATTGTACATGCCCTAATAGATGTTGCGGATATTGTTTTTTATCGTTGTACACTTGGCCGACAAGTTGCTTGGTTTGACTGCTAGCCTGAATATGTTACTGCTAATAAGGTTCTCCGTGCTGAAAACCCAGTGGTCAGAATACATATGTTGATTCTTAATTGAGCCATTGTTAGGTGGTTCACACAACTGCCCTTCTTTTGACTGCAAGTACAATCACCATTGTTAGCTAGCAACCACCCAAATAACAGCACAGACTGTGCACACACGATGGAAATGCCGTGCAGAGTCAACGGATAAGTACAGGGCATCGATGCAGAACGTGGTGGCAGACTAATGTTACATTTGTTAGCACGTCCTCATCTAGCAAGAAAAATGGAGGACTAATTGAACATACAAGTGGCTGTTAAGATGCATTATAATTGAAGGCGTCCTTTCCTGCTCCAGTTTTATGTATTATAATGTGAATTATATACTGGGGCTCTCTTTCCCTGTCCTTATCAAGCACCAAGAGCTAGTTTTCGTCCTTCGATCGATGCAGTTGCACATGCTGAGCCAAAGGAAAGCTTTGGCTTGACCCATGCATCTCTCTAATACTCCAATCTAGCACACAAACACCTAGAAGAGTAGAGAAAAAAAGTAGAGAGCTCAATGGAGGTTGTGAGCGCCGCACACGGTGCGTTTGGTCCTCTGCTGGAGAAGCTCACCACCCTGCTCGTCGACGAGTATGCTAGGCTCAAAGGGGTCCGCCGCGAGATCCGTTCCCTCAGATCAGAGCTCAGAAGCATGCATGCTGCACTCAAAGAGTACACCAAGCAAGAAGACCCAAATGACCAAGTGAAGACATGGATATCGCTGGTCAGGGAGTTGGCCTATGACACCGAGGATGCCTTGGACAAGTTCGTCCACCATTTTGGCAATGGAAGTCGAAGGCACCACGGCGATTTCAGGAAGCTCTTCCGGAAGTTTGTCATCTCAAGACGCTTGGGTCTCGCCGTGGAATTGAGCACCAGATTGACGACCTCAAGGACCGCATCAAGCAAGTGAAAGAGCTCAAAGATAGCTACACATTGGATGGTGCTCCTTCTAGCACAACTCGTCATGGAGTCGTGGATCCCCGGCTGTACGCGATTTTTGCTGAAGAGGCACACCTTGTCGGTATGGAAGGTCCAAGAGACGAACTTGCTAACTGGATGGTGGAAGAAGGAAACAACTCGTCCAAACATTGCAAGGTGTTGTCTATTATTGGATTTGGTGGATTGGGGAGACAACATTGGCGAATGAGATCCGTCAGAAAATCCAAGGGCAGTTTCGTTGCCAGGGTTTTGTATCGGCCACGCAAAAGCTAGATATAAAGAAAATCATCAAGGATGTCATCTCTCAAGTGTCATGCCTGGATGGAACCCCAGAAGATACCATGGATTGGGATGAAAAGAAGTCCATTGCAAAGCTAAGAGAAATGCTACAGGACAAAAGGTAATGTTGGCCTTTATCATGTCTCTTAAAACTTTTATAGCCATTCCTTCAGTTCCTAATTAGCTTGATTGTTTCACTTCATATAGAATAAGAATATCACGAAAGCATTTATAGCATTCCTTTTGTTACTCATTCACTAGATTTGTACGCACAATATGAAGTAGTGTTATACCCAAAACATTTATACTGCTTTGGTCGCTAATCCACTTGATGGATTCCCGCTTAATTA